CATAATTCTATCTCATAATTTTACAATAATAATTTTTTTTATAGAATAATTCATTTTTAAGCAAGATGTCAATTCACAAATTTATCTTATTTTCACCTTTAATTAATTAATAATTTCGAACAAAACATTAATAATTTATAATCATGAATAGAAAACGCAAGTATAGTACCGGTATATTTTAAACTACACTCACTACATTCCATTTTATTTAACGTATAACGAGTTTAACAACGTTGACAGTACGAACAAATGATAAGGCTTGTAACTACGACCCGAAACTAACAAATTCAGTTGCCGAGATTGGCGCTGTTTGCCGTAGCGGCATAATTTAAAACTAATGTTTACCTGCGAGCTAGACTCTTGTAGAAAAAGGCGGGTGGCCGGAGTTTCGTTGTACACAGAAAGGAAGAAGAGCATTTTTAGTTTGCACCAAAATGTATCTTGTAACGAAAATCAGTTATTAAACAACAAAAATGGCGGCTCGAACGGTACAGGGTTGATAAGTAGTCCCATTTTTTCTTTATAGAACTTTTTATATGGGTCGCTCTCTCTCCTCCCAAAAATTTATATGTTTTGGAAATGGCTATCAAATATGTTTATTTTCAAAACTCAAGGAAAAAAAAAAACGTTCTATATAATTATTCTATATAATTACCAGAAGCAGTACGTGACCTGTTTTTACTTAATATTTTTTTAAAGAGACATATTTGATAGATATTTCCAAAACATAATTTTTGGCGGGCGACCCGTGTGAAAAGTGAAAGTATGAATTTAATTCTGTCTAAGAAAAGGGCTTGGTCCAGTCAAATAATATTGTCATAATTTATTTACGTTTCTAACAGATACTGTATGCATTACAAGTTAAAGAATTAGCATTTTTGTATGACGAAGAAGAACACAAAAGAAATTCCACATATTCTCAATTAAAGAATAAACTTTACAAAAGTTATATATATATAACTTTTGTAAAGTAAATATATATATTGTATAAATAAATATAAGTAAATATATATATTGTAAAGTAAAATATATATATATGTTACAGTCAAAACCCGTTTTTAGTTAGAACGCGTTTTAACTAGTTGAAACTAGTTTATACTAAATGTCTTTGTTAAAACCCGTTTTGTCTAGTTAAAACTAGTTTTAACTCAAATTCATTTTTGACTAACAGTAAATTCTAGTTTTAACTAGACAAAACCCGTTATGTCTAGTTAATTTACTGCTGTACATGTTTTGATTTTAGATAAAACTAGTTTTAACTTTTAACATTAGTTAAAACTAATTTTAGCTACATAAATATGTTTGGGNTTTGGTTTTGTCTAGTTAAAACTAGAATTTACTGCTAGTCAAAAATGAATTTGAGTTAAAACTAGTTTTAACTAGACAAAACGGGTTTTAACAAAGACATTCAGTATAAACTAGTTTCAACTAGTTAAAACGCGTTCTAACTAAAAACGGGTTTTGACTGTAACATATATATTTTATAAACCATATATGTTGCTAGATATATATTAAACAAATGTAGAAGTTTTTCTTGAATGTGAAATGTGTATGTAAAAAGTTATGTTCATACTCGAAGAATGTGCATTTCAAAACTTTATTCAGGACGAAATATATTTTTATATAACAAATTGTAAAAATACAAAATATTAAAAACTTATATGAAAATATACTTTTGTAGTCTTTCCAATCGTCCTTTTCACAATTACAGGAACATGATCCACACGATGGAGTCGACCTTTATAGGCCACTTCCCCGCCTATATTTATGTAAATCAAGAAAAAGTTCCGTGATTTTATAAATTGTTATAGGGTAGAAAATATGATAATATAGATCATACTCTGCTTTATTTTTAAAATTTAATTTAAAATTTATAAACTAAAATTTTCAATTCGATCACAAATTAACTATTGACAAAAAATATTTAAAGACTGTAATGAGAACGTGTTGATTTTAAAGTCATTCTTTTATTAATTATGACGAAAGCCTCATCTCTTAGATTCATTGAAAATGTCATATATTTTATCGAACAAAGTACTGGGTGTTTATAATTAAAGGGTTCCTCATTGAAATGGCCATAAAATGAAAACTACTGGACAGATTGTTATCAAACTTGATAATAGTGTACAGGACGTCATGGAATTTTATTTCCCGCAAAAAATAGTTCAAAACTCACCACCAACGGAAAATGGCGCTGCTGCAATATTGTTAAACGAAATTGAAGACATAGTTGAAAATGTTCAAAGTATTAACAGTTTCCAATGGAAACTGTTAATACTTTGAATTTGCTTACGCTTTGTGAATGTAATAAATTTTAAAATTAATATTGTATTCATTTACAACAGTATTAATTATAATAACATTATTTTATCATAAATTTTATTGAGAAAATATTACAAGTAAAATTATTTTAAACATTCCTATTGGAGAAAATTGATAAATTTGTCAGAGAAATTGAATTAAATATTCTTTTACATCCTAATATATTTAGATTTTATTTTATCTAATTAATGTTAAACTTGTTATTAAGAATGTTTAGAAAATGCAGTTTGTTTGATCACTACAAAAGAGTTTCTAGAAAAATTTTGAATGTATTATATTATTATATTACACAATTTCCATTTAATTTTAAAATATATTTTTGATAAATTTATTTTCAATAAATACAGCAATATTTAGTACTTGTATCGCGGCCTGTGAAATTTTTAGATAAAAGTTTTTCAATTGTTCTTTGTGAAAATAGTCTAAAATTAAAATAATTCAAGGTTTTCCCACTTTTTTGTTTACCAAAATAATAAAAACCACAGTCTTTTAAAATTAAAAGTTTTTTCTTATATACTGTAGTTTAATTTAAAGGTGCTCATTAAAACGCGACTTGAAAGCGCATCTAGAGATTGTATTTACATCCTTAATATTCACTACTCGACCAGGTGATGTCCTGAAGATTCCATTGAAAAAAAAAAGTTGGTTGGACCGCACAGACCGACAGGCGGGAACCAGCTCTCACCTAAATTTGATTCCTGTCTAGTACCTTACCACTAGACCACAATAGGCTCGTAGTTTGTTTAACAATACATCATCATATCTTTTATGGCGTCATTTTATAATGATATTACAAAAACTTAAATTAATTATAAAAATTATCAGCCATCTCAATCAGTATAGAAAGCTTTAAATTTTAAAATGTTTAAGAACTATTTAAAATTATATATCAACATCTTAATACACTGTTACTAGCAGATGCTTTCGTTAACTTTAGCGTTTATCGTTAAAAAATCATTGTAAATCAATTCCTTTTTTTTACTTTTTATTTGAACTTAAAAATAATAAAAATCGAATTACAACTGTTTACCAATCTCGACAGTTCTGTACACATTTATTAAATCTAGAATCAGAGATTGAATTTTTTGATATAAAAATATTATGCTCGAACGAATAACTTATATTGGGGAAACATTTTTGATAGTTTACTGTCTCATAATTTTATTATACTACAGTAAAACCTCGATTATCCGCCCCCCAATCAACCGACCCCTCGGTTAACCGACCGTCCTAGTCGGCAAATTTCAAATGTCCGCTAGTGATGTGGCGCTACAATATTTGGCTATGTCTTGGCTACTTTAATATTATTTTTACGTGTTTTAGCTGGCAACACTCATTCGACCATGAAAGGGAGCCAGTATTTAAACGAAGCTTAATTTTCTAATTTTTAACGATACAATAGCGACGATTATTATTTTAAAAAATTTTTGTTAGGCTTAACATCGATGAAAATTCAACGCAAAATAGGTTAATAGAGATATACTAATATACTAATTACATGGGATATAATAATATACTATAATAATGGATTTTTTCATACTTTTCGGTTATCCGACTTTTCAATTATCCGACCAACCCCAGTCCCCAATTAGGGCGGATAATCGAGGTTCTACTGTATATCATTTAATAGAAATTTGTATGACTTACGCACGGTTTAATCTCTTTCTTTTAGTGAATTTCTTTGGTTACGAACATTTGAAATTATTGAATTTGATGTTTATAGCAGCGTATCAAAAGATTATAAAAAGTTAGATATGTAAAAGTATTAAAAATAAATTTAGAATATCTAATATCTCTATAGGATAAACACATGATTTCTTTTCTGGATGTAGAGCGCGTGAAAATTAAATATGATCTATCAGAACATCAGAAATGTTTACTTGTATCTTCAAGCTTTTAAAGACAATAATAATAATAACAAGAGGAATAAATTAATGCCAAATTTAAAAAAAAAACAAAATATATTCTATTAAAACAATGTTTAAAACTTAAGATTGTAGAATTTTATCTATTAGAAACCTTACTTTCGTCCTCATGTTAATTTGAATAAGGAAAGACGTAAAGAAGCTACTAATGAATTTGGAAATCGTTTTAAAATCGATAAATAACAGTTTACTTGGACGAAACTGTTAGGAATGTTCGTAAAAATAACTAAAAACTGCATGAAAACGATAATGAGAAAGATATTTAGCAATTTCTAGTTTAAGATGATTAAATATTTACAAATTTAGAGAATTCTCAATTGTACAAACCGCATTATGCTGTATTTTAGAATTAAATAAACTTCAAATATATCAATAATTTATTAAATAGATTAGAAAAATTTATATTAATGTTAACTTATTGTATACAGAGACTGACAGTTTAACTTTTAAAATGTATAAGAACGATATTTTTGCATGCATCAAAATAAATTATCAAACATTTTTCTTTCCAAAAACATCCCAAAACTAATAGTCGTTTGAAGAAAAAGAAAAAAGAACTGAAATATTTTAAAGATAAAGCAAAGTCAACATCTATATTATAATTTGTAAGATTAAAAACAAAAATATATCTTCTTTCAGGAAAATAAGAAAAGAAACGACAAACAAGGTAAACAAATAGATTATTAAAACTTTCAATCATAATTTATATCTCTGTAGAAAAGTGTACAGTAATAAACTTCTGTGATATGAGCGTTAGTCTCTAGTGTGTGTGACTCCTTTTTTCTTGATATAACAAGTCCCAAGTTTTCGTAAATTTAGTAATATAACTCATTTACGAAGACCTGTAAAGTGAAATATGTAGTTTATAAAACTTTTTAATATCTATCAGTATACAAAAAAATATAAGAATGGATTGTTAAAAATATTTTTTAAATTAAAAACTGTGAATCTAATTTTTATTTTTCAATAATTTTAATCTGTTGAATATATCACTGTTGCAAGTTATGTGTTCACAGATAGTGAGTAGGATACATTACAAGCAAGTTTAAAAAATCATACACGACTACTTTGATCCGTTTCAAGTCATACCGAACCAAAAAGTGGTGGGCTTGATAAAAGACACCACGTCTTGGCCGTTTATTTATTATAAAAAATAATACAATGATTATATGATACGAAGCGTTGCTAGATAATACAAATACAAAAGTTTATATAACACAAATCATTGCTACACACATAGGTAATGACAGGAAAGAAATTTAACACTCCTCCTCAATGATTTGTCCCATTTTGCTTACAGTCTTCGAGTCCAAGTTGTCTAGCACACTTAACGTCTTTTCCAGTACACACTGGTTTTGTTAAAATGTCTGCTACCATTTCCTTGGTAGGGCAGTACATAATACATACATTCCCATTCTTCACTTCATTTCTTACAAAATGATATTTGACATCAATATGTTTCGTACGTTGACTCACACGATCATTCTCCGCCACTTTCATACAACTTTGGTTATCCTCGTACATAGTTACTTTCTTATCGACGGTTTCCCCAAGGTCCAGAAACACTCGCTTCAGCCAAGCAGCCTCCTGGGTAGCTTCACAAAGTGCAACGTACTCAGCTTCAGTTGAGGACAGTGTCACATTGCTTTGCTTTTTACTGTACCACGAAACAGAACTGTCTTGATATTTAAGACATACCCTGTACGCGACTTTAGATCTGTGTTATAACCTGCCCAGTCTGAGTCGACGAAACATTCTAGTGTGGTTCTAGCGTTGCTCTTTTCACCCAATTTCAGCTTCCAATCAGCTGTTCCCTTCATATATCGGAACACCCTCTTCACCTCATTCCAGTCAGCTGCTCTTGGTTCCTTAGTACGTTGAGCGAGGATGGAAACTGCTGCCAATATATCTGGGCATGTGTTGGTTGCAAGGTACAGTAAACTACCTATACCCTTCAAGTACAGTTTATTACTTTCCATTCTTGGTACCCGCTCTTTAATTTTGAAATATTCAGGATCAAGGGGAATCTTGCTGGTTTTTGCACCTTGAAGTCCAAATTCTACTAGTTTGTCAATTATAAAATGTTTTTGATTTAGATGGAATATTCCATCACCGTCTCGATCAAATTTGATTCCGAGGTAATGATCGATATTTCCGAGGTATTTCATGTGGAAATATTTATTAGTTTCCAAACAATCTAACGCATGTTTGGAGATTAATGCTGCAATTACATCATCAACATGTGTGGGGGCCGAGGGGGAGAGAAATTAAAAAATCTCGGCGAACGATAATATGTGATATATATCGTCATCGTCTCCCTTGCCGTTTGGACTGCCGAGCGGTAACAATCAACGACATGTGGAAGCAGTTGAGTCAGAGATAGATGCTTCGTTAACAACACAACCGTTTATTAAACACGAAAGAAGCTTACAAGATTTCCGCGATCTTGAAAGTTCTGCGGCGGCTGCGGCCTCTGGGTCTTCCTCTCCTTTCCAAGATAGTCCCATTTTGAAGGAGTGTCCCTTGTTCGTGAATGAACCATTCCATCACGTCTCGATGGCTCCGGGACGATGCGGTCGACTTCCGTTGATGGAAAGATGTCGATCCGAGGTCGAGAGATGGAGACGAAGATGGGTGCGAGACACACACACAACAACAGATCCGTCACTTGAAACTTTCGGGAGAAGAAGCCGTCGCGTCCTCGAATTTCCGGGGTTTTATCTATTTTCTCTCAGATTCCCCTTTCCGATTGGTCTCCCGTCGTCACCTGATGACAATTCGAAACCTTTCGGGGGCGCAGGAGAGGTCAAAATCGAAGTTTAATTCGATCTCCAACCGGAAATGGTCGACGGACTTACATTCTTCTATTGTTTAAAAGTTAGCGTCGCGTTTTCATAAAATAAATCTATTTCTAACTACTATATTATTTTCTTTAAAACAATTATTTTAACGCGAATTTTAGTGAGGGTTTGGACCTGTCCAGAGCCTCACACATGTACAATGATGTACATTGTTGCATAGCATCTTTTTCCGGTGTACAGACAAGGGTCATTTATGCTCTGCGCAAAACCGCATTCAGTCAGTACTTCATGCAATTTTTTGTTCCACTCAGTAGCTCCCTGTTTCAATCCATAAAGGTTTTTCACAAGCTTGCAAACTTTGCTCGGTTCCTCTGTCCCTTAGGTTGTTGCATGTACACTGTGTGGTGTAGGTCGCCATTCAAGAAAGCTGTCTCAATGTCATAGTGATTCATATGCATTTTACGTTTAGCTGCTAAAGTGAGCAAGATCCTAAAGGTTGTTGGCTTTGCCACTGGAGCAAACACCTGGTCATAATCCTCCCCATATTTTGACTGAAGCCTTGTGCCACCAGACGGCTTTGTATCTTATCGGTTTACCTTGTGTTCATGTTTAATTTTGTATATCCACTTACTTCCAATAACATTTGCTTCTGGTGGTGGTTTGGCCAACACCCATGTTCCATTTTTCTTGAGTGAACAAATTTCCGCATCCATTGCCTTTATCCATTCATTTGCATCTTTTCCGTTGACGGCTTCATCGTAGGTTTTCGGTTCAGAAACAACCTTACTTTGCATTGCCTCAATCAATCTGTCTGGGAAATGACCTTTGTTGTTTCTCGTAGAGCGACGGAGTGGCAGATTGTCCTCAGATTGCTTGTTAAAGATGGCTCTTTCATTTAGGTTAACTTCCACTTCGCTTTTGCTGTCATCTTCACTGAGGTAATGTGAAAGGGATGAATTGTTGGTCGAGCCCATGTTGTCATGTGGATTTCCTTCTATGAAGACAACGCCACGACTTATCTTGATTTTCTTGGTTACAATATCTAGCAATCGATATGCCTTGCTGCCACTTTCATATCCCACAAATCTTGTTTCAATTGCCTTTACATAATTCTGTAAGAGTCGCGAATCAGTGAAGTTGGAGGAAACTTGGCTCCTGATCGATCGTTTTTAATCTTGGTATTTAGTGCACACATCGTAATAGATCTTACATCATCAGAACCGGCTCAACAAGAGGAATCTAACGGTGCCACTTTTGTGACCCTAAGGTCAGAATTTTGGAGGTTAGAAGCCGATAAAAAAGTCAACTTTTCGGGGTTCGCTCATCCGGAGAATAAGGCCGTTCAACCGGAATTCTCAACGGAATTCTATAAAGCTACAAACTGTAAGTACCACACCAAAATTTTGGGGGTCTAGGACCAACCGTTCCCGAAAAATAACGTTTTTAAACTTTGTTAACGTCGGACTTTGCGGGCCCGCATCGGGCCTCTAGTGACAGATACAATCAAAATTTTACGGCTATCAGTGGAAGGGGATCTTCAGTAATTTTCTACAAAAATTTCAGCTTAAAATCTCCAAAATTATTCAAATTACGGCAAGTTTAAAATCCACGAATTTTTAACAACTTTATACACTTAACGGAAAGCGGTTACCTAGGCAACAGTCAACGACCTTTACAACTTAAGCGGATTATAACGGACTTTAACGGTTATCCAGTGACGTCATTGACATTTTAACGTGCTTTTTGAGGATTTGGATTTTTGTAACAGGAAGTTAACAATCTGCCAATGAGAATCAACAGTCAGAGGAAGATCAACTATAGAACATCAATGTAAAAATTGTCAAATTAGTATTAAGTAGTTTAATTAATTTTTAATAAGTTTAATCTATCTTTTCTGCACTGTGGGTTGAGTCACGACTCAATAGTACAGTGTTGCTGTGGTACAGAACCATCCTTTTCAAAAACACAACCTTCCTTTTTAATTGTTTATAATAAACTATTTGGTACTCTTTCACAATGGAGGGAATTGAGAATAATACAGAATTATTTTGCGATGAAACCCAAGAGGATTCGGGGGAAACCCCAACAAATATTTGCAACTTAACAATAGGTAATACAATTGAAGACAAAATTCTTAAGGATGCCAAGCAACAAATGAGGAGGATAATGGATTTACTTCCGGAATCTTACAAGACCAAAATAAAGATAGAAGAAAGGAAGAAAATAAAGGACAGAGTTGTTCATCTTTTTGCGGCATTGCAACAGATGTACGGCATTCTCTCTGAAATGAGAACAAGAATGGAAGAACAAAGTGACATAACTCCAAACTTAATAGAAACAATCAAGGAAATTAAAACAAGTATAAACCAAAATAAAAAAGGATCAAACAAAATAAGCTACGCGGAAGCGGCTAAAGCAAACTTGAATCCTCACCAGAACCAAAGTCAAAATACAGCTGCAATTAATAAAAGCAAAGAAACTGAGGGAAATAGCGCAGTTTTGTTATACCCAAAAAGCGAAGAAGAGAATAAAACAAACATGGAAGAAATAGTACAAAAAATTAAAGATAACATACAACCGAAACAAATACAAGTCAAAGTAAAAGGAATTAAAAGAATCAAGGGAAACGGAATATGTTTCACAGTTACTAACGAAGAAGAGGGTGAAAGACTGAAAACGGCGGTGGAGGGAATTCCGGAAATAGAAAAGAGGGTTAATTGTAGAATTTCAGGGAAAAGGCAGCCTAAAGTAATTCTTCTAGATGTACCAAACACAATAAAAGATGACGAAATAATAGAAATAATGATTCATCAAAATGACATATGGAGGAATATTAATGAAAACAACTTAGAAAACAAATGCAGGATCATAACTGGGATCAGGAGCAAAAAGCTTCAGGACAAGGGAAGACATGTTGTGATAACAGTCACACCATCAATAAGGAATATTTTAATGAAATATATGAGCATTGCCTTGTCTTGGTATACTGTGAAAGTGGACGATTACATACCCATACAA